ACGCCTAATGCTTGGAGCTAATATTGCTAACCAGCCTTATTCACAAGCACTAGGGAGATGGTAGACTAGAGGCATCCAACTTTGGCAACTTTAAGATCTAGGGACTTCAACTCCCAGAATCCCCCAGCTAGCTTGCTCCACCATTTCAAGCTGTCTGGGGAATTCTGGGAGTTGAAGTCCACAGGTCTTAAGATTGCTAAGGTTAGACGCTCCTATGATAGACCATCAACCCCAAGCTTGATGCCTCCGTAGGTCTTGTTACCAAGATTGGGCACCCCTGTGGTAGACCATCAACCCCAAGCTTGATGCCTCCACAGGACTTAAGATTGCCAAGGTGGCATCCCTGTGGTAGACCATCAACCCCAAGATTTATCTCTCCACAGGATTTAAGATTACCAAGGTTGGGCACCCCTGTACTAGACAATCAACCCCAAGCTTGATGCCTCCACAGGACTTAAGATTGCCAAGGTGGCATCCCTGTGGTAGACCATCAACCCCAAGATTTATCTCTCCACAGGATTTAAGATTACCAAGGTTGGGCACCCCTATAGTAGACAATCAACCCCAAGCTTGATGCCTCCACAGGATTTAAGATTGCCAAGGTGGGCATCCTGTGGTAAACCATCAACCCCAAGATTTATCTCTCCACAGGATTTAAGATTACCAAGGTTGGGCACCCCTATAGTAGACAATCAACCCCAAGCTTGATGCCTCCACAGGATTTAAGATTGCCAAGGTGGGCACCCTGTGGTAAACCATCAACCCCAAGATTTATCTCTCCACAGGATTTAAGATTACCAAGGTTGAGTTCCCCTATGGTAGACCATCAACCCCAAGCTTGACGCTCCACAGGATTTAAGATTGCCAAGGTGGGCATCCCTGTGGTAGACAATCAACTCCAAGCTTGATGCCTCCACAAGACTTAAGATTGCCAAGGTTGGGCAACCCTGTGGTAGACCATCAACCCTAAGCTTGATGTCTCCACAGGTCTTAACGATTGCCAAGGTTGGGTACCCCTGTGGTAGACCATCAACCCCAAGCTTGATGCCTCCACAGAATTTAAGATTGCCAAGGTTGGGCACCCGTGGTAGACCATCAACCCCAAGCTTGATGTCTACATAGCCGATTCATCTTCCTTAAGCCAGGTGTAATTCTTACCTGCTACATCCTCATCCATTTGGCTTTTTCCATCTTCCACTGGGAGGGGACCCCATATTGTGACCCCAAAGAGCTCTTTTCCACTCCCGGTCCCTGTTTGAATCCAAGAGGGGCATCCTTGGCTTGTAAAAACTTCTGTTCTCAAGACACTTCCGTGGAGTTGATCATGTCTGAAGGGTAGCTTGTTACAGAACGGAGAGGTAACCTGCCAGGGGAACTGGCAATCCGTAGCCTTTTCCTTTCATTACTGGATTACAGGTAATCCCCGATTTACAAGAATAGCTGGGAGCAGAGTTTCTGCTGCGAAGCAATCCGGTTGTTAAGTGAGTTTTATGACCTTTTTGGCCATGGTTGTTAAGCGAACCACTGCAGTTAACCGTCATAAAGGCGTGCCGTTTGCCAAGCACCCCAATTTTGATCACGTAACCCTGAGGATGCTGCGAGGGTCCTAAGAGCAAAGACTCGTCCCAAGCCACTTCCTTCAACTGTTGTTATAACTTTGAAAACTTTGAGGATAGTCCTCAACTTACAAAAGTTTCACACTTATGACCATTGCAGCATCCTCCACGGTCACGAATGATTTACCTTTGGATGCTTGACCGCCGACTCGCATTTATGACGGTTGCATTGTCCACGTGATTCCCCCCTTTAGCGACCTCCTGACCAGCAAAGTCGAATGGGGAAGCCCATCATTCACTGAACAACCGTGTGACTCATTTAACAACCGCCACGATTCACTTAACAAATGTGACAAGAAAGGTGGTAATAAGGGGCAAAATTCACTTAACAAATTTCTCACATGGGCAACATAAATTTTGGGCTCAATTGTTGGTCGTACGTCGAGGACTTGCTGTAAACGAATGTCTGTAGAGATTCTGAGCCATCCAGGTAGGACATGGTTATCCCAAAGGGGCTTTTTTTACAAAAGGCAACTGGACTTTCTTTTGTTTTTCTTTGAAAACGTTTCGCTTCTCCCCCAAGAAGCTTCCTCAGTTCTGACTTGTAAATGGCAGGTTGTAATTCGCGGGACACACACACACACCCCATGCGTCGATTCCACTCCGTCTTTCAGTCAAAAGCTTTGGCCGTGTATATCTTATCAACAACAGCACGGAAGACGTCACGAGGAAGAACAAAAAGCAAAAAGCGCTTAGAGATTTAGCCTTCTTTGGGTGGCTGGATCTCTCTCGGAATAGCGATGCATACAAAAATAGACATTTCTAATCAGGATCAAATTCATTATTCCTGTCATTTCCCGTCTGTCATTTCCCTGCTGGGCCTGTAAACCAAACAAGAGTCAGATACGGCTTTAACATCCTCTGGTTTCAGAGAAACAGCTGAACGGGCCATTTTTGCCACGGGGAGGGGAGATTACGGATACCTGCCCCCCCCCCCCGATTCCCTGCAGCTCTTTTCAAGCGGCTATAATTCCTAATTTGCTTGCCAGTTTCCTATACACACACACACACACCCCCTTCCCTCCCCTTCAGTTTGCCTCCCGTTTTTCTTATCGGGAGGACCCCCTCGCTCACCGCGGAAAGCGCCAGGTAGGATTCTCATTATACCACCAGCTGCATAGCGAAAATTGATTTTATGCATCTCAAACTGTATCGTTCAGATTCAAGAGTTCTCCAATGTGTTTTTTAACAACAGATAAAATAGAGAATGTCACACTTAAAAGATAATAAATTAAGGGGGGCCCTCCCGGACCGTCCAAATGCTACTCAAGGGGGGGGGAAAATATCCGAAATGGGGCCCCCGTGGGTTGGATTTGATTGCGGTTCTAAGGGAGCGGAGAAGCCGTTCTAAGATCTAACCGTTGGTCTCAAACAACCCTTGGGGGAATCAAATCAAAAGAGTTTAGAGGTGATACATGTGACAGAATCCCTTTTAAAAGAGAAGTGAGAGTCCTCTCGGAGCGACCAAGATGGGAACCAAGGTCCAGAGTTCCAGAGAACGTCCCTCCTTCAATATTTCTCTGATCAGTCCAGTTGGAGGGATGGAGTGGTGCAATGGCTTAGAGTTGGAGTTCTCGCCTCACAATCAGGAGGCTGTGAGTTCGATCCTAGATAGAGGCAGATATTTCTCTCTCTGGGCACACTGAGAATATATCTGCCGAACAAAACTCCGCATTGGCAACAGGGAAGGGCATCCGGCCATTAAAACACGCTGCTAGCTCCATTCAGTTGCCCAGACTTCACTCCGCAAGGGATTTTTTATTTTATTTTATTTTATTTTATTTTATTTTATTTTATTTTATTTCATTTCATTTTATTTTATTTTATTTTATTTTATTATTATTTTATTTTATTATTTTATTTTATTTTATTTTATTTATTTTATTTTATTTTATTTTATTTTATTTTATTTTATTTTATTTTATTTTATTTTTATACCGCCCTTCTCCTGCGGGACTCAGGGCGGTGTACAGCCGAGATAAAACATAGCATATAAAATTTAAAAACAGTTTATAAAACAATTCAATAATTTCCGCCCAAAATTTAAAACAACCCAATTAAAACCGAATTCAATTAAAACTGAGAGGATGGGGTCGTTAAAAGATGATGATGAGTCCAGTTGGAGGGATCGACTCAAGGAGAGATTGTGGTCCTTCTAAGGATGTGGATAAATCCGTTGAGATCCACATCCTGAAAACACATACGAGATTCAGCTCAGTGTGGTAAACATCCTAATCCACACCTGGGAGAGAGTTGAAGGAGATTAAGACAAGGTGGAACAGGCAAAGTCCTGTCTTTCCTGCCACCCTGAAGGTAAGGCATGGCGCCTCTTTGCTCCACGTGCTTCCCGATTCCTGCACCGTGCTCTCTTGAATCCCGATGTCAAGGTTCCAAGTAATACATCCCATTCAATAAGAACTCCGAGGCAGGCAATTTCCTCAAAGAACATTTTATTGGGACATGTCAAATTGGCCAATTTTCTTGGTGAAAAACCGGCTCTAGATTCCCATCGGTTTTACACCCAGTTTATTTATTTATTTTATTTATTTTATTAAATTTCTATACCGCCCTACTCCTGAAGGACTCAGGGCGGTGAACAGCCACAGAATAAAACACATAAATACAAAAATTTAAAATAGAATAAAAACAAATTAGATAATTTGGCTGAACAACTTTAAAATACCCCATAATGTAAAACAAATTAAAATTTTCATTTAAAAAGGGGAGAAGATTTAGTTAAAAGTAAAACTTCGTCACTTCTCCCCAGAGTCGCCCATCACACGGTCCAATCAGCATGTAGTCCAGTTGCTAGGTGACCTCTTTCACCTCCACCTTTCGAACACCTGCACCAACGTCCTTGATTCCCAGGGAAAAGAATGTTATTTTGGCTACAGCACCCCCAGCTATCTCTACACCACCCCTCCCTCCCTGGCCCCTCCGCTGTGAGAAGAAGGCGCTCTCTAGAGAAAAACTACAAAAGAAAATGGCCACAGTTCAACCAGTGGTGAAATGCACTTACCTTCGCTACCGGTTCAGAAATGTGGGCGTGCACGCTTCTTCTGCACATGCGCAGAGCCAGAGAGTCAAAAACGGGACGTAATGACATCCCAGCAGATGGGCGAAGCCTCCCGCCACCGGCCCTACTGGTTCGCGCAAGCCGGATAGATCCAGTCGGATTTCACCGCTGAGTTCGCCCAACTTCAGGGTTGACACCCGCACCTTGGTGTTTCGGGGAGTTACATCTTTCACCTTCTTCTCCGCAACCTGTAGTAGAGTTGTGTCTCGGTCTTCCATCCTACAGATTCCCCGTTCCGAAAATGATGACCGCCTGGACCACACCGCGACCGAGACATTAACAGATCCTTTCTCTCTCTCCGCTCACAGGGGACGGATTCCGACTATGAAGATGAGCTGCCAAAGCATTCGTTCGTCAACCATTACATGAGCGACCCGAGCTACTACAATTCGTGGAAACGCCAGCAAAAGGGCACAAAGCATTCGACGCCTTACAGATACGAGGAACGGGTCGCGAGCGAGGCCGAACCTTACTTCCAGACTGTTATCACGACGCAGAGTTCAGGAGGGGTCTACACCCCGACAGGACAGCCCACCCCGGGCTCAAGGACTCCAGTGACAGGGTTCTCGTCGTTCGTCTAGCACCCACGGAAAAAGAGCGCCGGCCTCAAATTCAGCGGCCCGCCACGGTTCGGGTCGACGCCAGCCCATCCCGACGTGACTCTGGGAGGCACACAGGCAGTGAACTGGGGGTATATTTCTCTTTATCAGGGTAGAATGGATGTACATGTGAATGTCTTTTGGGGTTTATTTTTTTTTTCAAGACAATCAACACTTTAAGACATGGAGCTGATGAGTTTGCTTTGATTTTTTTTTTTTCTTCTCCCCCTTTGAAAATCCCATAAATGATCAAAACCGGACCATTTTAACCACTTTGGAATATGATTTAAAAGAATTTTTTAAAAATAAAAATATGCTTTTTTAATGTCGTCTGGGTTTTCTTTCTTCTCTCTCTCTCTCTCTCTCTCTCTTCTTTCTCTTTCTCTCCTTTCTTTTTTTTCTTTTTTCTTTCTCTCTTTCTTTCTCTTTTTTCTTTCTTTCTCTCCTTTCTTTTTTTTCTTTTTTCTTTCTCTCTTTCTTTCTCTTTTTTCTTTCTTTCTCTCTCCTTTCTTTCTTTTTCTTTCTCTCTCTCCCCCTCTTTCTTTTTTCTTTCTCTTTCTCTCCTTTCTTTCTCTCCCTTTTTTCTTTCTCTCTTTCTTTCTCTTTTTTCTTTCTTTCTTTCTCTCTCTCTTCTTTCTTTCTTTTTTCTCTCCCTCCCTCTCTCTTTTTTCTTTCTCTCCTTTCTTTTTCTCTCTTTTTTCTTTCTCTCTTTCTCTTTTTTCTTTCTCTTTCTTTCTCTCCTTTCTTTCTCTTTTTTCTCTTTTTTCTTTCTTTCTCTCTCTTTGTTTTTTCTTTCTCTTTCTCTCCTTTCTTTTTTCTCTCTTTCTTCTTTCTCTCTTTTTTCTTTCTTTCTCTCTCTCTCTCTCTTCTTTCTTTCTTTCTTTTTCTTTCTTCCTCTCTTTCTTTTTCTAATCCAAGAAGTCAATCCCCTCCTTTTGAATTACACAGCAATTCGGTTACCTAAATTAAGGCGACGGGACAGATTTTAAAGTGCCGTGATGCCCAACTTCCAGAAGAAGAGAAGCGGTTCCACCTTATTTGGAACTGTGCCCTCGGGGAGAACTCTGCACACCTGGAATTCTAAAATCTTTTCCCAGCACAGGCTTTGAAGAGGAGAACCAATCTCTGCTCTGAAAGGGACCCACATCACCGAGATATGAGGAAAGGTAAGCGGTTGGGATAATGGCTTTTCTATCAGAATGCTTTCCTCCAGTTTCAACAATGGGTGTTAAGCAGGGATGGTATTCACTTACTTTCCCTACCGGTTCACAAATGTATGCGCCGGCCTTCCACACATGCTCCTGGCCTCAAAAACGTGCTTAAATAGGATAGCATAGAGCCGGGGTTTTCCGCTACCGGTTTGACCAAACCAGCTGAATGCCACCTCTGGTGGAAAGAACGTATGGGTGAGCCTCATGTTTCTTCCTTCTTCAAATACTCAGGTTGGGAAGGAGTTACTCTCCAGTAATGCTGGAAGGGACGTGGTGGCTCAGTGGCTAAGACGCTGAGCTTGTCGATCGAAAGGTCGGCAGTTCAGCGGTTCGAATCCCTAGTGCCGCATAACGGGGTGAGCTCCCGTGACTTGTCCCAGCTTCTGCCAACCTAGCAGTTCGAAAGCAGGTAAAAAATGCAAGTAGGAAAATAGGGGCCACCTTTGGTGGGAAGGGAACAGTGTTCCATGCGCCTTTGGCGTTGAGTCATGCCAGCCACATGATCACAGAGACGTCTTCGGACAGCGCTGGCTCTTCGGCTTTGAAAGGGAGATGAGCACCGCCCCCTAGAGTCGGGAACGACTAGCACACATGTGCGAGGAGAACCTTTACCTTTACCTTAATGCTGGTTCCTCCAGTTACTCCTCAAAGGAGGCTTCCTATGCTCTCGTGTAAGGAAAGCAACTGTTTTGTTTGTCTTCCTTTCTGGTGAAGACTGTTCAATGGGTCATAAGTCAGAAATCAACAGAAGCTGGAATGTGAAATCTGAACATAAGCAAATATTTAGTTTTATTTATTTGTATCCCACCTGAGGTAGGTTGGTCTGAGAAAAGAATGACTGGCCCGAAGTCACCTAGTTGGCTTTCATGCCTACAGCAAGCTAGAACTCACTGTCTCCTGGTGATTGGCCCAAAGTCACCCAGCTAGCCTTTATGGCTAAGGCAGGACTAGAACTCACCATCTCCTAGTGATTGGCCCAAAGTCATCTAGCTGGTCTTCATGGCTAAGGCAAAGCTAGAACTCACTGTCTCCTGGTGATTGGCTCAAAGTAACCCTGCCGGCTTTCATGGCTAAGGCAGGACTAGAACTCACCAACTCCTAGTGATTGGCCCCAAGTCATGTAGCTGGTTTTCATGGCTCTCCCATCCCTGAGTGAGGAGCCTGAGTGGCGTAGGAAGCTAATGCCTCCTACTAAGGCAGCATTTAACATCCAGCTGCCTGCAATTACTGTGAGTTCAATTCTCACCACATTGTCATCCACATCTTAGTAAACCCAGTTACTTAGTAAGCCCAGACTTGCAACATACTACATTAGGTTAATTTTAACCTTAAAGGAGAATATTTGTAGCTCAGAGGTACCCAGAACCTTGGTGGTACAGTGGTCTAAGGCACCCTGTTATTAAGCTGGTTATTAAGACCAGCTGCCTGCAATTACTGCAGGTTCGAATCTCGCCAAGGCTCAAGGTCGACTCAGCCTTCCATCCTTTCTAAGGTGGGTAAAATGAGGACCCGGTTTGTGGGGGGCAATAAGCTGACTTTGTATAAAATATACAAAAGGATGAAGGCTATTGCTTAACGCATTGTAAGCCGCCCTGAGTCTCCGGAGAAGGGCGGCATATAAAAATAAATAAAAATAACAATAAAAAATAAAATCCCACAATAGCTACAGTTCCAGATTTCAAGGCTGGCATTTTGGATCACAGATGGAAAGAGTTAGACGGGGCGATCAACCAGTCAAGCGCAAAACTCCTTTTCTCGCGATTAAATAAAGCTGGCCCAAAGGGGACCAGTAAGAAATAAGGATGACTCTGGAGAGAAGACGCCATTTCTCTCAGCTCTTCAGCCGTAGCTTCCCCCAGGCCTTAGAGATGCGGGCTTAATGATTGCCCCCCACCCCTTGTGAACGTTATGGACAAATGGGGGGGAGGCAGGGGGGGACGGGTTGGATCTACCTGATAGGTCTTAATTAAGTTGTTGTGTATTTTTAGAAGAAATTACAACACTTCATCACCGAATCCGGATGGTCTTCAGAGCTGAACAGGTAAGCGTAATTATTTCATTGTATTGATCGGTTGGACAAAGCCTACTGAAGCAAAACACCAGGATGGAGAGAGAAAAAGAAGGAACTTTTTTTTTTCTCAAAAGACTTCTGATCACAGGTTGGACCGAGAGCGGTGGCAGGTCTACAGCTAAGCCGCGAATCCTTTCACATATAATTTCACTCCTGATCCTCTTTTTGTTCCCTAACCAGCCTTAGTTAAAAAGAGGGAAAGAAAAATGTGCTGTCAACTATCATTAAACCACCGGGAAGGGTAGGATATCCTCTGTACTGAGATCACAATCTTCCTTCTTCTGCAAAGCCTCTGTTATATTCTTCTCCCAGAAATACCGCGGAAGATTTGCTAGGTTTACCGCTTTGCAAATACTGTAGGTCACCGTGCCTTAACTTTGCTCCCCCTCTACTAAAATTAGAAATGCGGGATAACTTCTCTGCAAACGGGGGGGGGGAAATATAATATAGGAATTATTCAGGATCTACCCCATCTGTTACTCTGGTTCTCTACAAGATCGTGGCGATGGAAGTTCTCAATGTTCTTTCGTCTAACCTTAGTTTTAGAAAAAAGGAAACGGCTGAATATAGAATGACAGAGTTAGAAGGGACCTTGGAGGTCATCCAATCCAACCCTTTGCTGAGGCAGGAGACCCTGTACCATTCCAGACAAGTGACTGTCCAGCCTCTTCTTAAAAATCTCCAGTGATGGAGCACCTACGACTTCTGGAGGCAAGTCCTTCCTTCCTTCCTTCCTTCCTTCCTTCCTTCCTTCCTTCCTTCCTTCCTTCCTTCCCTCCCTCCCTCCCTCCATCCATCCATCCATCCATCCATCCATCTGTCTATCTCAGGGATCTGCAACCTTAAACACTCAAAGAGCCATTTGGACCCATTTCCCACAGAAAAGAAAACACCGGGAGCCACAAAATATGGGAGCCTTCCCATGCCTGACTATTTCTTGAGCGGCCACAAAACTAGCATATGTAGTTGAATTAAACATTCTGTTTTCTTCTGAAGCTTTTCTTTTCTTGGATTATATCCATGGTTATTGAAAAGCTCAATAAATCGTGTGCCGGTGGGTGTTACACATTGGCAGTTGTGACACATATTTTGAGTGACGGAGCCGCAGCAGAGGGGTGAAAGAGCCACATGCGGATCCAGAGCTGCAGGTTGCTGACCCCTCGACTATCTTATTTATCTCAGAATCCTAGAATCTTGGGGCTCATCCGGGCCTTCCCCAGACTCCATGTTCTTCCTCAGCCTCATCGCTGTCAGCTCCGTAGGCTGCGGGCGGAGCAGAACAACCGCCATAAAGTGAAATCAGATCTACAACTTTTTTTCGCAGCCGTCGTAAAGCGAGCCAATTGTTCACAATGGGACAGTTTTGTCTAAAAACCAGCATTTAAAATGCCAAAAATGTTATAAAGGTGATCGCGGGGCAATTCAAACAGCCATAAAGGAAGATCATTTCGTAAGTACCCAATACCTGATCTGTCCCCGTCCACACACACACAAAAACACAGCCAGCCGAGGGTTAAGGAAGCACTTGGCACACACCCAGGTCTTTATCTCCAACTTGGCAGCGATATACACACCGTCTGCCAAGTGCTTTTATTTCCAGAGAAACAGAAAGATAATATACTCAGCGTACAAGAGTCCAACAAAAATAAATATTCCTCTCAGCAGTTTCGGACGAGGCTCTAGTGACTATCCAAGGTTTATTTTTGTTCGTCACAGGGATTACTAGCCACCACCCTCTATTATATAGTCTCTGGGGTGTGGTCCAGTGACTCAGTTCTAATCCCTAGCACGCCTCCTGAGCTGCTGCAATCGTTTATCACGCCTTCGGAGGCGTGCGTCCAGGAATGATGTCTCTCCCTCGCTCTCATCCGAGCCACCTGTCTCCCTGCTAATCTCCTCTCCCTCGGCCGGCACCTGAGACAGTGCCAGAGGGGAGGGGCCTGGAGAGGGAGGCCTGGCTGACTCCTCTTCCTCATGCTCAGAGCTTTCTTCCTCCGATGGGATAGGCTCAGAGGGCGGGGCCACAACAATACCCAACATGCA